CCCCGTGGTCCCGCCCGTTCCCGGCGGGGATCCGCGCCCAGCGCTCCTCTGACGGCGCTGCCCCGCAGACCTTGCCCAGGAGGAATTCCTGGAGCTGCTGGAGCTCCTGGTGTCCCGCGCTCGCTCCTACGTCCCATCGCTGGCTGCCATGGAGGAGTTCCACCTGAGCCTCTCGCAGTGCGTGGTGCTGCGCTACCACTGGATAGAGCCCTTCGTCCGCTGCCTCAGGGAGCGCCTGGCCACCTTCCACAGGTGGGTTTGGCAGAGCCCCGGGAGAGCGCTCTCACACCCCTCCTCTGCCCTCGGGAGCCGTGGTTTGCCAGCATCCACGCCCTAAGGTGTCCCTGGCAGCTGGTGCTGGCAGAACATTAAAGCCCTGCTTGAAGGGATTTTTCCTCACTGTGTCAAGATCTGGCACCAGACACGTCAGGTTTTGGCTTTCCAGGATCAGCGCTGTGCCATCCCCTAAACCATGGTTGGTTTAGTTGCTTACATCTGGCTCAGGCACTCGCTGAGCATCACCTGCCTCAGCGCTTCTCTGTCCAGGCTTCAGGGGGCTGCAGATGGGAGGGGAATTAATTAATTGGAACCCAGAAGGGTTCTGGTTGCACCACTCTGGTCCAATTGCAGCATACATTCGCCTGTATCTTTCCACAGCTTGGTAGCAATCCTGGCCCCTCCTCATCTCCTTTTTCCTTTCCCTTTTTTTTTTTTTTCTGTTGCAGCTGAAATAGGATCTTTCTTATTTCAGGTTCTTCTGYGTGGCTGACCAAGTGAAGGTTTACACCAACCAGAACAAAACCAGGTGAGTGCACAGTGGAGCAGCCTGCCTGCCCTGGGAGAATGCTGAGCAAGGTGCTGGGTTGATGGGAGGTATCACCCTGCCTCTCCCACAGTTGAGCCATGTGACAGCACAGTATGTGATCACCTCCAGATCATCTCCAGACATTTCACACCTTTCCCCAGCCATCTGTACAAATTTTTMGCTTTGGCACTGATTCTCTGCAAGCCTTTGGTCTCATTAGCCGGCGTGCAGAGCCTGGGGCAAGCAGAGTGGAAACACCTCTTTTGGCAGCAGTGCCAGTCGTGAAATTGTAGTGCAGATCTTCCAAGAGCTGCAGAGAAATAGCTGAGATGGTGCTAATTCTCCTGGGCATCAGYTCAGAAGCCTGATTCCAACTGAATGCAATTAAGTTTTTTGAATGTCAAAGCAAAGGTGATTAAAATTGYGAAAAATTGCTGAATCTGGTGGGAAAGGCAGCCCAAGATAATCATGGGAAGGAAAAAGTGGATGTGGAGCCTGGATGACACTTGAGTCTTCCACTTCCCTCCTGGAGGGGAAGAAATTACTTTAGAAAGTGTCATCCCGACAGTCCTGGAGGAGGTGCTGACCGCTTTGTCACATCTCTCTAACTTGGTACTTCCCATTCCTTGCTTCCCCTCCCACTGTAAAACCACTCCARCAACTTCAACTTTTTTTTTATGTAGCTCCTGTATGGGCACGGCACTCTGCTGAAATTCCCGTCCAGTGCATCCTTTGCTTGGAAAATTAATTTTCATGTCCCAAAAGGTGCTAGGTTAATCTAGGAAATYTACATGGTTTATCTTCCAATCCTGCTTCTCCCTGCTACCACATTTTTACTTCTGTTTTTCTTCAGAATATGGTCAGCATCCCTGGATGCTTAAACCTGGCATTCTTCAAATTTTCTTTTTTTAGGGAGTAAGAAACTTGCCCAGTAGCAATGCATGGCTAAGTATTCTTAAGGYTGTRCTTTCTGCAGCATGAAAGGGTGCTCACTGTTTCTCTTTGTGYTTCTTTAGGACCTTTATTGGCTTGGAGGTATCTGCTGGGCATTTCCAGCTGCTGGAGCTGGTCTCAGAGGTAGACAGAGTTCTAGAGGAATTTGACCTTCCCACGTTCTACAAGGTGAGGCGTTTTCTTTCTTACTCCTCTGCCAGTCTGGACATGCCGGCTGCTTCCCCGTGAGATGTTCACTCAAATAAACAGGAACCCGTTGTTGTTGCTGCCCTGCTGTGCATGGAAGCAGGGTTGTGCTAGGATAGAATGGGCACTGTGGGACTGAGGATGATCCTTGTGTCTTGGGCAGCTTTCTTGGGCGTTAGTCCAGCCTTTCTGCTTGGTACTAGCTTTGGGAACAGGTTTGGGATTTGGAAGGGCCGGACCCCAATTTGTCTCTAGCGCTGAGCAGGGAGCTCATGTGGGTTATTCAGAAATGAGCCATGTACCTGCTCCAGGACCAGCTCTGAGAGATTCCCCTACAGCTGCAGAGCACAGGGAGGTTGAAAACCAGGCAGCCTTGCCCTCAGGTGTCCAGAAAGGYTGGGGTGGGGAGCCCAGGACCCCTCCTGCCTCCAGCACTGTCCATATCAGCTGTTGAGTTGGCCAAGGGGACTCACAGCTTCAGGATCTTCCGGCCTCTGTGATCCCAGACAGGGCAGCATCATGCCAGATCTCCCACTGTGGCTCTGTGCTTGGAGCAAAGCCTCTTTTAGCCCTCACATTCTGATCCCTGTTTCGTGTTCAGGACCCATCGTTCCACATCAGCTTGGCCTGGTGCGTCGGGGACCTGGCTGGCAGGCTGGAAGGGCAGTGTCTGCGGGAGCTCCAGGTGTGTCCTCACGTGGTGTGGAGAGGAGAGCAGGGGGAGGGCAGAGCTGGAGTCCAGCCACRTCTCCCTGCCAAGGGTGGAGAGTGTGAAATTCTCTTCACCGAGCAGGACAAGCTTCATTGGGTTGAAAGATGAGAAGTTTTTTGTGGGGAGTGTGAGTTAAATCACCTTCCCGAGGGAAGTCAGAGGCTTCCAGCTGCAAATGGCCTCATCTGTGACTGGCTTCAGAGACGGAGCTACTGACTCCATCCTGTGGCAGATCCACCCTCCTGGTACYGACTCCTGCCTCTGTTTTCCAGGACATTGTGGATGGATTTGAGGATTCAGCGTTCTTGCTGCGTATCCAATGGGAGCAAATCCGCTGCAAGTCAGGGAACAAGTACTTCTCCTTTCCCTTGAGGTAGGGGCTGGTGAGGCTGTGCATTTTGGAGCCTCCAAGAGCCTGATGCTGGACCAAGGACTGTTGTCCAGCGTAGTTCTGCGTGGCGTGGGCACCTCCATGCTCTTCTTGCCTGCTCAGCGTCTCTGTGGTGTTTGTGGTCCCAAGTCAGGCCACTTCCAGTTCGAGCTGCTGGCTGAAGAAAAGCGTGTTTGTAGCAGATTTCATCCTCGTGCTGGATGTGCTGCAGTCAGCACTGGCGGTTCCAGACATCCCACGGTCACTAATTCTGCTGATTTTTARAAAAAAAAGTAAAAAAACAATCTACAAAAGCCACAGATGCCTTATGGGAAGGAGGAAGAAGGTAGTGTGGGAAGCTGCTACTAAAGGGARWGTGTCTCACACAGTRGGAAGTAGCACTGCCAGATTGTCASGAGGCTCTGGGCACGTTTTGAGTAGCAAGAGGCAAGGATATGGACCTGGATCCTCTGCCAGAGCATTTTGCAACTGTAAGCCAGCTCGGACAAGCTCCTGAGTCATGTTGTGTCCCTCTCAYGCTGCTGCTGCCGCCTCTGTAGAGACATTTCAGTGTCTGATCCTTTTGCCAAGCAACAAGAGCTTGCTTCCAGGTGTGGGTGARCCCTGGAACAGACAGTGTCAGTGTTTGGCCACAGGTGAGTCAAGGGGTGGTGGTGCCTGCCCAGGCTCCACACTTTTTCCCTGTGTGAACAGCCCCCCAGATGCCCTGATGACCCAGGGGATCACAGGCTGGACATTGTCCCTTGGGAGAAGCACCTTTTTAATCCTTTTGTTCCTACAGGTTGGTCATCTGCAATCTCTCAGGTATTTGGAACAGGAGGCCGATGTGCTGCCTTGAATCTTTTATTTCATATCTGTACAGGACTTCTGAGCATTAAAAATCTGTCTCCTCATGTCATAAAATTGTGTCTGTGGTGTATTTCAGCCGTTTTCTTTTAGACACACACAACTCCTGCAGGCTTCACATGAGGCCACGTCTGTTAAGTGTTCCTGTGAGCTCTGTGCTGCCTGTCCTGCACTCGAGTGTCTTTGTCAGTGGGAGCATCTCCTCACAGTCGGGATTTGTGTCTATTGGAGCATCGCAGCCGGTTGCTGTTGCCAGCAGCCTTTCAAAGTGCTTAACAAAAATCTATTAAGTCTGTAGCCAGTTAGTTTCCGGGATGGGGATCTGCAAAATAAGTTTCTTCTGGGGGAAGGAAAAACAAACAAAGGTAGAGATATATTTAGCCCTTGGGGACTTCAGTGAAACCGGTTTCTCCCGGGTTAATGCTCAACCAGCGGGCCTGGCACGGCACCCAGTTGTGTAACAGCGGGTGTCACAGACCCTCGGGACAGGGGACAAGGGATGTGGGGACAAAGGGGGGGGATGCGGCGGTGCCGGCGGGGCCCGACCGGGCGGGGATGGCGGCGGGGCCGGTTCGGTGATCGCGGGGAGCGGCCCCGGGCCCGGGGGGTTCCGCACACACGTGCGGGGGGGCGGCCCCG